GCAATTTGAAACCAGGCGTCCACCCAAGTTAGGCTCCCCCACTCCCATGGGGCCTGGGAGACAGGGCCCCCTCTCCCTTGATGGTTACATTTCAAAGAGCTGGCTCCCAGGTCCTGAGAAGGACAGTCCTGGCTGTAAAGCTGGCAAGAGTCTTATTTAGCTTTCAAAAAGATTTACAGACATCTCCATGGGGCAGAGGAAAATCCACAGTGACAAGTTTCCTAAGGAAAGGCGTGGCTGTAGGGAAAGTCTCTCCCTTTTGGCACCAGGGAGTATTAAAACTTATTTTTCTTAGTTTTAATTTGTGTTTGCCCTCACAGTTATCCTGGATTATCTGGGTGGCCCTGATGTAACCACAAGTGTCCTCATAAGAGGGAGGCAGAGGGAGATCCGACTGCAGCAGAGACAGAAGGCAGTGTGAGGACTGAAGCAAAATGCTGCTCTGCTGGCTTTGATGATGAGGAAGGGCCCTGAGCCCGGGCATACGTGGAATGCAGCTCTAGAAGCCGGAAAAGGCGAGGAAACAGATTCTCCCAGGGAGAATCTGCAGGGAACATGGCCCACACCTTGATTTCGGCCCAGTGAAACTGAGTTTGGACTTCTGGCCTCCAGAACTGTATGAGAATAAATGTGTATTGTCTTAAGCCACCAAGGTTGTGGTAATTTGTCACAGCAGCCACAGGAATGAGATATAGTGTACAGCTGAGAGTGTGGAGAGGAGAGAGTGTCATCGGGAAGTGAGATCTGAGGAGAGGATGCTTGAGGCCGAATCTGGATCAAGTGAAGGATTGACCTCTGTAAAGATCCAGAGGAAGAGCATTGTAGACAGAGAGAACAGCAGCTCCAAAGGCCCCATGGTGGGAACAAGCTATTGTTGCTGGGCAGTGTCCAGCAGGACCTCGGTGACACGGAGTTAGAGAGGCAGGCACGGGCAGACCAGGTGGAACCTTAGAGGCCACGGCAGCGGTTTGCCATCATGTTTTCACCATGTGAAGTGAGCAACCTGATCTATGTTTAAAAGGGTTGATCAGGACAGGAGACTGGACTCCACGGTGGCCAGAGGGGAGGCAGGGAGAGTAGGAGGCAGCTGCTGCAGGGGCCAGGTGGGCGCAGTGGCCATGGGGAGAGGCTCGAAGTGGTGAGCAGGGCCTCACAGCCATGGCGCCCAAGCACTGGTGCTCGCCACAGGAAATCTGAGATCTCTACCTGGTTTCCTCTTGACCAACCATGTTCTTCTTCTTTTAGAAAAACAGTCTCCTGGAACTAGATGTGCAACAGAAAAGTGACTTGTGCAGCAGAGCTTGGGGGGCGACATTTGCTCCCTACCTAGAGCTTTTCTTATAGGAAAAAGGCATTCTGCATGTGTTCATGCATTCAAGGATATATTTAGAACTGCAGAAGTAGGAGCACTTTGATCTTTTCCTTAGGGTTTCCACATGACCCAGCAAGACTCCTTTCACCCAAGATGCTAGCCTGGGACAGTCAGGGCCTCCCTCAGTTTGGGCCGCGGCTGCTCTCTCTCCAGGTCCAGACGCTGGGAGGGCTCACAGGACGGAGAGCTGTGTGAGCTCGCACAGGTGACTGTGCCCGCGTGAGGCACTCCCAGCTGGTACCTGCTCACTGTCTCCTCCCCAAACTGCCCGCAAACACCTGGGATCAGCTCCGTGAGAGTTTCCAAATCTGCCTTCGGGATGCTGTCGGAAGCAGAAGTTCACAATAAAGTAAGTTCCATTAGAATGAAGTTGCCTCTCTTCTCTCTTGCTCCCTTGTCTCCTCCAGCTTTTCAACAGTCATCACTCAGAAATTGTCAACAAGCATTTGGTTTTATTCCATATTAAATACCAACCCAAGAGATATTTCCATCACTAAACCAGGGTTAAAAGTCCTCTCAACACCCATCACATTGTGGAAAAACAGCACGGACTGTCTCTGTCTGACTCATGGTAAGGCCCAGCACCTGGCACAGTGGCAGATGGTGGGCATTGAATAAATATTTGTTGGATGTATGTGCAAGCCTGTGGGGAGGATTGGGACACTCTATATGCAAGAGGTGGGTGCGGTTTTCCCTCTTGCAGCTACAGGGCTGCTTCTAAACAACACTTGGGCATCTCCACGGAGGATTTCTGGAGCCATTGTTCCCCTCATCCCTGGCACGCCCACCTGCTTTGCCGTCTAATCCAGTAGAGGGAACTGGCACTTCTGGAGGGGAAGATGGATCCCCCCAGGGCCCCTAACAATTTTTGCTGTCCAGCGGGTCCCATATTCTCTTTCTCTCAAAGCTGAGAGAATCGCCATTGGGCTACACCATCTGGCTGGTGGCTGCACCACCCTCCCTAAGGTATATTGAGGAGTGAAGTCCCAAATACCAAGGCCTGGAATTTCTGGCTGGCATAAAGGCTCACGAATCCCTCACAACTCCTTTGCCGCTCATTTTCTGTCTGCAGAGCGAAGGCCCAGACACACTATACTTAGCTTCCTTTGGCTGTGCCAAAAGAGGAAGTTAGAGCAGGTGGTGAACTCCTGACTGGGCGAGATGACATTTCTTCCAGTGGGGGCTGGGGAGTGAGGGAGTAGTTCAGGGCCCTGGTTAAGCCCAGAGCCTTTCTGCTAAGAGACTGGTTACAGACCGATGCAGATACTTTGTGAGTCTGTGCAGGAAGTCCCCTGTGAGGGTTTTAGCAGGAATGTAGTCATCAAGCAGCAAAAGATGTGTCACATTTACTCATGAACTAACAGATATTTCACAATTACACTTGGTGCTTTTCCCACACACACAACTTTAGGGGTTAAGCGTGGGGCCAGGTTCTTAACAGCCACCATCCAGCTGTGTGGCCTTGGGCAAATTCCTTAACATCTCTGAGTATCAGTTGTTTCATTTGTAAAACAAGACTAGAAGAGTATGTTTCTTAGGGTTGTTAAGAGGGTTAAATGAGATAGTATGTAAAGAGTTTATCCCTGTGTCTGACACAAGATAAGGACTCTCTAAATACTAACTGTGATTACTAAGTATTTAGGTAGAAACTGGAGTATCTTCTGATCGCACTGATGATAGAAAAATCCATTCTTCTGTACTCATCAACCTTGACGTGTATTCTACAATATGCTATGACTATATTTTCTGAACCCCAAAACCACATGATCTGACAGAGGTGTTTTTTTCATATTTGCAAATTTTATTACATGAAAAGTATAAAAGTTATACATTTAATCTACAAATAGAAACTGTACAGTGAGAGGTAAAACAAGAACCAAACAAGTGGAGAGATATGGATCTTATATCTCTTCAAATGTGTTTTTAAAATATTTGTGAGAAATTTAAAAAATATTGACAAGAAATTCTAAAGTTCACTGGGAAGAAGAAATGAGTGATGCTTGCCAAGAAATTTTGGAGGAAAAAAAGGAATCTGTGTGTAGGGGGAGTACTTACACTACTAGTTATTAAAACTCATTTTCTGATAAAAATACAAACATAAAATCTAATTTGGGGTGGGGTGGGGTGGCATGGCCTCTCTAAACATATCCCCAAAGGCAGAAACCATAAACACTGTCTACTTTACAAGGAGGACCCCCAACAGTGTAAAATAAAACCAATTTCTTGACTTTTTAAAATGGACAAATAGAACAGTGGGCAAAGGGACATAAGAAAATTCACAACAAAGAAAATACAAACAGGCAATAAATAACTATGTGAAAGAACAAAGCTAATTAGCAATCTAGGAAATGAAATTCAAAACGATGAGAAAAAACGACTTTAAATTGGAAAAAATAGCCCGTCTTGTCAAAGATATGGAAAAATGCGCATTTCTCAAGGGAAAATTAATACATTTTCCTGGAAGATAATTTGGAAAACATTTAAAAAATATACTCTGTCTTTGACCTATTAGTTCCCCACTTCTAGAATTTTTAAATCAGGCATGTGCAAGAAAAGATGACTCTATAATGATATAGAAAAACATAAAATTTATGAACAATTTATTTGTACATTTATGCTGCTATTAAGAATCATGTTATAAAAGAATATCTAATAAATGGGAGAAAATTCACAATGTTAAGTGAAAAGGGAAGAATACATCTTTGCACGGCAGTATCCCAATTATGTCAAATACGCATGGGTAAGCACAGGGAAACAAATGGGAGGATACATACCAAAATATTACATGTAATTCACTCGAGGAGCTAAAAGTATGAGAGATTTTTATATTCTATTTCGTATTTATGCAAGAGATTTTTTAACAGTTTAAAAAATAATTGTACAATTAAAAAACTGCCTTTGTTGAAAAGCATAGCCTGGAAAACCCAGGAAGTGCTTCGTTTGGAAAGCCAAGGCCACCTGCTAGTCGCTGAGTCACGGGCGCAGGCTCGCACCTGCCTCCGCGCTCGCCAACTGCCTGCTGCGCGTTTCCGGAGAAATGTCCCCCGTGCGAGAGCGGCCCGCGGGCCCCGAGGCCAGGCCCCGCTCTTTGCCAAGTTCTGGAATAGAGGGCATTCCCTTTTCAAAGTTCACACGAGCGGGCCTTTTCTTTCTCCACTTCTGAACAAACCAGAAGGCAAACTTTCGGGTCAGCCGCGCGCCCCCGACCAGGGGGAGCGCAGCGCGGCCACACCCCCCGCGGCACTCAGATTCCGCAGCGGGCCGAAGGTCGAGGCGGACGGAGAAGCGCAGGGGTCGGCCCGGGGGCGGGGAGCGCCCCCTCGGAAGGCTCCGGCGAGCGTGGAGCCTTTAAGAAGCCAGCGAGGGCGGCTCGAGCCGAGTGACCAGTCTGGCCACGCGGTCGTCCAAGGCCGCTCGTCCGCAGTCAGGACAAAGGGTCGGGAAACTTGAGCCGGGCCTGTCCCGGAAGATCGGGCTGTGGTCGCCATGGCAACGGAGTCTGCCCCCGGCGGCCGGCCCGGCCCGGCCCGGCCGGAGATGGAGCGCTGGGGGCGGGGGAGGGACCCGCTCGGCCAGCGCCGCTGCCCGCCCCGCCCTCCGGCCGCGGCCGCCGGCCCGAGCCCGAGACTGACCCTCGGCAGCTCCTGTAGTCACGTGGCGCTGGGAACCGGCGGGGGGGGCCGGGCACGGGCCTGGCAGTGGTGAACTCGAACCTGCTGCTGTCGCGGCGGCGGGTGGGGAGCGGGCCGCCGGCGCCGGCGTTCCGGCCTCATGGACGCGCCACGCGCCTCCGCGCACCCCGCCGGAGAGGTTCGTCCCGGGCAGGGCGCGGGGGTTCCACGGGGCCGTGGCGGGGGCAGCCCTACCTGCCGGCGCGTGACTGTGTGCGCTGTGTAGGGGGGACATGGCCGCACCGCGGGGGGGGGGTGGCGGCGAGCGCGCACCTGCGCACAGGCTCCGCGAGCGGCGCGCCGCGCGGGGACCCGAGAGGGCCCACCCGGGGAACGCGGGGCCGTATGTCCGCGAGCGCGGAGGGGGACACGCGCGAATACAAAAGGGAGGAGTAGGGTCTCCACGGCACTTCGCCATCCAGCATGTGCAGGGAGATTCTGACCGAGTCCTGGTCGCACTAGCTCGCCTGCACAGCCCCCTGGGAAACGAGCCTGGAATTCCTGTTGGGAGGAGGGTGGGGGAAGGGGAGCCAGCAGGGATTCCAGAGTTCCTACCATCGGCCGGCCTTTGGCCATCAGCATGGAGAATTCGTGCTGTGACCTTACCGGTGGAGGAAGTGACCCCCAGACTGCAGCTGTGCACTTCCTTGGTAAAGGGGGCCCATTCATTTATTAATCCAGAATCCATTAAGGTAGTGACCTTAATGCGGGGTGTGAGGCTTGGGTGGGGGAGGAGGTGGTGGCTGGCGAGGACACAAAGATGACTGCCCTAGAGACACTCAGAGCCTCATGCCTGTTTTCTCTCCCCTCCCCACAGGTAAGGCTGGCCTCTCTGCCGTCTGAGGTCTGAGCTCTGCCATGGGGGTAGGGGTGTCTTTACTGCTGCAGTTTTCTCTGACATCTGGGGGCTACCAGAGTGTGGGCCGAAGCAGGCGCTGCAGCCGCAGAAGTCTCCCCAGGAACATTCCCAGGAGGAGCTGGAAGCACCCTCACCTCCAGCTCCACTGTCTCCAGGGTAGAGTCTGGCCTTCTTTGTTGGGTTCCCAAACCATTCCACAGCCCCAGCGCTCAGGTCCCCCCATCCTGGCGGAAGGAAAGCACCTGTCGGGGGAAGGATCACATTCTCATACCCTGGGAGTTTTACTTGTGCTCAGTCTGGCAGGTGGGAATGAGTCACCTCTGTGCTCCTGGAGGGGAGTGCAGGCTCTAGGGAATTTCGGAGGATGTGCCTGGAGCTTTGGAGCAGGCAGTGAGGGTCCCTGAGGAGTCTAACCACCACCCCACCCCTCAGTGAGTGTAAGAGGCTCTCCTGCAGGAATCTGGGCTCCCCGGAACTGTGGAGGAGCTGAATGTGGGGCAGCCCCTACGGGGTTGGGGCAGGACTGGGCGGGGGACAGAGATTACAATCTCTTCTTTCCTCCCCTTTTCTTGCCCCAGTAATCCCTACCACCCCACCGGAGGCATAGCCAGGGATCCAGGCGCCCGAGGGCAGCAGGCTGAGTGTTCCTTGGATTCAGGAGAGCTTTCCTTCCCTCGATGTCCTAATCATGTGTGTGGGTGGAGGGGGGCAGGCGGGCAGAGTGTGGGCAGTCTGGACAGGCAGTGCCCGGCGTCAGACCATGCTGGGAGTAGCTTCCAGCGCTCCCCTCCTGTTTCTGAGAAGGGCTGTTCTCGCTTGCTCTTCAGGCTTCCACCCTGAGAGGCTGAGGTTAGGGAGGCTGAAAGTGCCTCCCCCTTGTGTGATTAGAGCCCAGGAGAGGATAATAGAAATGAAAGGCTATGGACATGTCTCTCAGTGAGATGGTCATAAACCCAGGTGTTTTCAGGGAAGAACACTGGCCTGGGAGTTTAGAAGACCTGTCCCCAAATCTCGGTTCTGCTGTTGGTTACTGTGTCCCCTCGGGCACGTCCTGTCACCTTTTATGCCTCACAGTTGCTTCATCTGTCAAACGAAGCATAGTGTCTGCTCATGCAGCCTCACTGGGTTGCTGTGAAGCTCAGATGTGGCAACAGGACATAGCAGAAACAAGCGGGGGGCCGTGGGGAAGCACCTGGAAAAGTGCAAGGCCCTGTTGGGAGAGGGGACCCCGTCTTCCAGGGAGTCCTGAGGCAGCCGACACTGGAGTGTTTACTCCATGCCAGACACAGGGGGGCCGCCATGAGGGGGATTTCAAGAAGTGTCCGAGTTCCTCCCGTCTGGTAGTTTCCAGGAATCAGTAAAGACTTATGACAAATATACTTGAAATGGCATCTAGAAGCCTGAGACTGAAAGCACCCGGAACATACACAGAAGTGGAAGAGCAGTCTAGATTCAGGGGCGCTGGGAGTTCAGAGGGTGGGCTCCTCAGGGGAGGCACGGGGGCAGGATGAGCTGATCTCTAGAGTGACTGTGCTTTTCCACCCTCAGCAGAGGAAGCACCGATGCTGGAACGCCGCTGCAGGGGCCCCCTGGCCATGGGCCCTGCCCAGCCCCGACTCCTTTCTGGGCCCTCCCAGGAGTCGCCCCAGACCCTGGAGAAGGAGCCCCGCGGGCTGAGGTTACAAGGCACTTCTGCATCCTCGTCGGGCAGCCAAGCCCCGGGTAGGGCCCATCGCTGTGCGCACTGTCGAAGGCACTTCCCGGGTTGGGTGGCCCTGTGGCTTCATGCCAGACGCTGCCAGGCCCGGCTGCCCCTGCCCTGCCCTGAGTGCGGCCGTCGCTTCCGACACGCCCCCTTCTTGGCACTGCACTGCCAGGTCCATGCTGCTGCCACCCCAGACCTGGGCTTTGCCTGCCACCTCTGCGGGCAGAGCTTCCGAGGCTGGGTGGCCCTGGTTCTGCATCTGCGGGCCCACTCGGCTGCAAAGCGGCCCATCGCCTGTCCCGACTGTGAGAGACGCTTCTGGCGCCGAAAGCAGCTTCGAGCTCATTTGCGGCGGTGCCACCCCCCTGCCCCTGAGGTGCGGCCCTTCATATGCGGCAACTGTGGCCGGAGCTTTGCCCAGTGGGACCAGCTAGTTGCTCACAAGCGGGTTCATGTAGCCGAGGCCCTGGAGGAGGCAGCAGCCAAGGCTCTCGGGCCTCGGCCCAGGGGCCGCCCTGCGGTGACCGCCCCCCGGCCCGGTGGAGACGCCGTTGACCGCCCCTTCCAGTGTGCCTGCTGTGGCAAGCGCTTCCGGCACAAGCCCAACCTGATCGCCCACCGCCGAGTGCACACGGGCGAGCGGCCCCACCAGTGCCCGGAATGTGGGAAGCGCTTCACCAATAAGCCCTACCTGACCTCACACCGGCGCATCCACACTGGCGAGAAGCCCTACCCGTGCACCGAGTGCGGGCGCCGCTTCCGCCACAAACCCAATCTGTTGTCTCACAGCAAGATCCACAAGCGATCCGAAGGGTCCGCCCAGGGCGCTCCTGGCGCGGGGAGTCCCCAGCTTCCAGCTGGCCCCCTGGAGCCCTCGACAGAGCCCACCCCAGACGCCACGCTGAACCCTGCCCAGGAGCCTGCACCGGAGCCTCTGCTGGAGGCCCCAGGAGAGCCCCCGCAGGACCAGACGGCAGCCCCCCCAACTCTCTACAGCTGCGATGACTGTGGCAGGAGCTTCCGGCTGGAGCGCTTCCTGCGGGCCCACCAGAGGCAGCACACGGCCGAGCGGCCCTTCACCTGCGCCGAGTGTGGGAAGAACTTCGGCAAGAAGACCCACCTGGTGGCTCACTCCCGGGTCCACTCCGGCGAGCGGCCCTTCGCGTGCGAGGAGTGTGGGCGCCGTTTCTCCCAGGGCAGCCACCTGGCGGCGCACCGGCGTGACCACGCCCCCGAGCGGCCCTTCGTCTGCCCGGACTGCGGCAAGGCTTTCCGCCACAAGCCCTACCTGGCAGCCCACCGGCGCATCCACACCGGCGAGAAGCCCTACGTCTGCCCCGACTGCGGCAAGGCCTTCAGCCAGAAGTCCAACCTGGTGTCCCATCGGCGCATCCACACGGGCGAGCGCCCCTACGCCTGCCCTGACTGCGACCGGAGCTTCAGCCAGAAGTCCAACCTCATCACCCACCGCAAGAGCCACATCCGGGACGGCGCCTTCTGCTGCGCCATCTGCGGCCAGACCTTTGACGACGAGGAGAAGCTCCTGGCCCATCAGAAGAAGCATGATGTCTGAGAGGGCAGGGGCTGCGGAGGCTGCGGGAGGACGGGCCTGGGCGTCATTCACCCGGGAACGTGGCAGTGGGCCTTGGGGCCTGAGTTGCTGCTGGTGTAGGCAAGGGATGGGAGAGAGGCGGGGAGTGAGCTGGGCCTAGTTAGAGGGAGGTCAAGCCCGCCCAGGGGGCCAGGGAAGCAACTTGCAGAGCGTCCAGACCCCAGCCTCCAGTGGGTGTTTGCTAAGGTTCCGTCCTCACTGTCCTGTGCCCTGGAAAAGTAGCAATAGCAGCCCCCCACTTAGAGCCCTCCGGCTGGAGGGGCCACCAGTGGACAGGAAGACCCTTCTCCTCTAGTGTTAACGCCTTAACGTCCCAGTCTTTTATTATGAGTTCCTTCATCTCCTTCTTGGAGGTAGGTGTGGTACAGCCCTTAGTAAATGAGTGCTCAGGAGGAAAAGTGGGCCAGCTGGCTAAACCTGGGAGAACCTGCCGGCCTTGTTAGGCAGTACCTGGGCCTTTTCCAGCACTAGGAGGTGAAGCCGAGCTGCTCTAACCTGTCCCACCCTGTCCCCTCCGTCCTGCCCCTGCACTGGTACCCAGACTTGGAGAGACCCGTCTACTGTTAGTGCTCAGCTCATCCCCTTCCTCTGAGAAGGTCAACCCCCTGGTATTTCCCCATCGGTCTGACTTGCTTTATCCACCACCCTCGCGGCGCTTAGAGCATCCCCTGGCTGTCAGCAGCTGTGTCCAGGCTTTTGTCTAACAGCAGCCCTCCTCACTCCCAGAACTAACCCGTGTGGAAAGGACCGCCCCATTGATGACGGAGGGTCAGCTGATGGGAATAGGGGTGAATTTCCTATCCCACATTTCCAGCCTATGGATGCCCAGCCTCTGCTTGAACACTGAGGTGATAGGAAGTCCCCACCTCCTGAGGCCCTGGTTCTACTGTAGGATAATTCTAATTGTTAGAAATTCTTCCTTATAGTGAATGAAATCTGCTTTCCTGTAATTTCTACCTATTGGGCCTTGTTCTGTTCTCTGGAACTAAACAGGACAACCACTTACCCTCCTTTTCAAACTAGAAAATAAAGATTTGGTTTTAGAACTGGTGGCTGAGAAGCGTTCCTTTCTCCTGGGGAGCTGTGGATTTGAGTGAGGAGCAGCATGCTCTACTCTGAGGAGGGGGGCTGCAGGGGCCTTGGTAACAGGCCAAGTGCCCTGACTTGTTGATCTCTGCACCCTGCCTCTGGTTCTTCCCCATGGTGGGGAGAGGGGGGCCACACCCAGCACGTGGGACTAATTCTTTAGAGGTTCAGCCTTGTGTGGGGTCAAGTCCGACTTTCTGGGTGCCAGTTATGGGGAGGAAGGTCTGATTTGATTCTGTCCTGCAATGCGTCCCTGGCCGGCCTGCTACGCTTACCCACATCTGTTACTACGTACGCTTCCCTGCACTGGTTGCTTCGTAGAGATTTGAGTGCCTATTTTTATTTACTTATTTTTTTGTGAGGAAGATCGGCTCTGAGCTAACATCTGCCAATCCTCTTTTTTTGCTGAGGGAGACTGGCCCTGGTCTAACATCCATGCCCATCTTCCTCTACTTTATATGGGACGCCGGCACAGCATGGCTTGACAAGTGGTGTGTCGGTGCGTGCCTGGGATCCGAACCGGCGAACCCCGGGCGGCTGCAGCGGAGCGCGCGCACTTAACCACTTGCACCACCGGGCCGGCCCTGAGTGCCTATTTTTGACAGGCATCAATAGGCCCTTTTCCTGCCTGTCTTAGCAATTTCTGCATAGATCCCTAGCACAGAGTCTGGTGCATCATAAGAAGCAGTTTGTTTATGGGAGTGGCACCTTCCAAAGAAGTTGACCTAAATTATCTCGCATAATCCTGGTGCGGTAGGTACTCTTCTTATACAGAAGAAAACATTTGCTCAAGGTCATCTAACCTATAATCACCAGAGGTGATTCAGCTGGGGTCTGCCAGACGCCTGGAACCTGTGCTCCAGACCACTGCTGCGGGTTTACCGGGGAATGGAGTGTGCTGCGCTTTTGGTGAAGATGAGTATTAAGTGCCTGCCACGAGCTTGATGCTGTGATGGAAACGGGGGGTTTACAAAGATAAGACCCAGTCCTTACCCCTACGATCCTAAGTCTGGGGAGGACATGTCCGTGTACACAATGCGTAGAGAGAGGAGGTGGGGTGGGTGGGGCTCCAAGTGTGTAGGATGGCAGCAGATAGCTTCAAAGCTTCGTTTTGGATTATGGGGTTAGGGGGACAATTAAAAACCTGCCTAGTCGATGGTAAACGATCTTTCAGAGCCTAGGGCATTGCGTCAAGAAGGCATCATTTAACTATATCTCGTTAGGGGAGCCCAGGGCTTTAAGGGAAGGGAGCAATGTTTTTTTGGGGGACACCAGGGAAGTAGGTAGATGTCGGGGGATGATGGGCAGGGAGCAGGAGACAGGTCCTCAAACATCTAGGGTTAGTATGAGGGGGTTAGGGAAAAGGATGATGGAGAGGGAATCTGACCAGGGGTCCTGACTTTTTGAAAAATCATCACTTTTAAAGGAAATGCCTGGCGTGTGGGGAAGGCAGATGTAGATTCCTCTAGTGCTGTGCTGCCCACTGCTTTTGGGTAGAGATGGGAGGCGAGTTCCAAAGGTCAGGAAAAGCCACAGAATGTCCTTGAGGGGATTGGTAGAGCAGGGACAGAGTGAACTTGCCCATGGTCCTGAGTCCCTTGGGGGCCTGGTGGGCCCCGAGTCCTTGCTCAGCGTGGCACATGCTGGCCTGCGTCTTGGAGGAACTGCCTGCGTTGGATGGGTCAGTGCTGTGCTGACAGGAGCTGCCCTTCTGTTCTGAAGAGTCCAGAGTTTTTCTCTCTCTTTTTTCTTCTACAGTTACAAAAGCATTAAATTATCGTGTCAAAATTAAACAGTGCAGACATATTTAGATTTATTTTTAAAGTGAAAGTCCTCCTTCATTTCCCCCACTCCACTCCCTATGTCTTTTCTCTTTGCACCATGTAAAGAGTTTGCGAGTGTCCTTCCAGACGTTTTTTCTGTGCATTTGCAAACACACATATGTAGCCTCCCCCTTTTTTGCTTAATGGAAATAGGATCCCAGATGTGCTTCATTCTTCCCACCCTGAAGTACCCTTGGTTATGAAATGTGAATCTGGAGGACGTCTTTCATCTGTAGAGGAAACGGGCCCCGAGAGTGGAAGTGACTTGCCCACTGGAAGCCAGTGGCAGATCTGGAACAAGCCTTTACTGAACCTCCACTAGGTACTCTGGAAAATAGACGAATGAGACTCTTGAAGAGTTGATGGCCTGGTGGTATCGGGCCTCTGTGTAGGGTTTTATACTTTACAAATGCTTCTATAAACCATAGAACCAGTTAGGGTCCTGCACAAATCCATAAGGTACATATATAACTAGAAAATTATTAACTCTTTTACAGATGAATAAGTCAAAATCCAGAGACAGAAAAAAGTGTCTTTTGTAAAAGCTGCACATGAACGTTGTGGCATAACTGGCAGAAACTCGGTCCCCCAGTTTCCTTGCGTTATGAGGCTGAACAGCAGCTGGCCACCTGGCAAGTGCTTAGTAGGCAGCTGCTGACTGGTTCATTCAAATAAGGTCCACCAGCTTAACAGTAAGCTTTGTAGCAAGGCTGAGAGAGAGGCCCAGCTTCTGTTTGTGTCAACCTCGTGTCTCAAAGGCGGTTTCTAAGCAGCTCAGGAGAGAATCCTGCCAGCGGGACTTGACCTAGCTGGCCCCCTTGAGGTAGCAGTGTGAGGAATTCTACTGACATAAAGGAGAATTTCCTTCCAATCAGGCTGGGTAGATGAGAAAATTCTCTTTCCTGAAGGTCTCCAGGAATAGAGACACTCCTTCGGGGTCTGGACCCTACCTCTAAATCAGCGGTGACACTCGACCTAGGAACAGAACCTCCGCAGGTCGCTGTTTCCTCAACTAGACCGGGGTGGGGGCGGGGGGTTGGACCTAACGATGTCTGAGTCTCTCCTAGAGACCCCAGGGTCATTTATCTCGCGCCCACGACGTGCCTGGGCCACGCGGGTGCGGAAGGCGCACGGACACGCACCTCTCACTCTACACCAGGTGTGCTGCACTGCCAATTACCACCACTGTGTCCAATGCACACGCCAGTGTGAGCGTCGGAGCGGGGTTCGTGCGTCTTGTTCCCCGGATCCCGGCACCAAGGGCGGTGCGGGCGCGTCCCTGAGTCGGACTGAGAGTCGCCGAGTGACTGGATCGATTTCAGAGCGCGCGTCGGCGGGGTGGGGAAGAGCGGGGTCTCCGGCGCCGTCAGGTCTCCAGCAGCCCGGCCTCGCCCCCGCCCCCGCCCCTCCTCCCCGGAGCTCCAGCCCCCGGCCCGGCGCCCGGAGGCCAACGCGTTAACGCCGCGGGGGGCCCAGAAAGACCCCGCAGGAGGCGAGGTCAGCTCGCCCACCCCGGGCATTGGCTCTGGAGAACAAAGGGGCCGCCCCGCGGGCTTCTCCGATAGGGCCGAGCTGGTCATCTGAGCGGCGCCGCCAATCGGGCAGCGGGGCGGCCCCGGGGACGGCCAGGCCCGCCAGCCAATCAGGGGCGCGCACCCGCCCCGCCGCCCCGGGACTGGCGGGGCCGGAGAGCCCAGTGCCCAAGTCGCCCCGGGGTGGCAGTTCCCGTTAACCTTAGCCACAAAGTCAAGGTATTTATTCCTGTCCCCTCCCTGCGAGTCTCTGTGAATCCGGGCGGGGAGGGGCGTGCGGAGGGACGGACCGTGCTGTGGGGCCAGCGCCCGGACCGCTCCTCCCGCGCTGCCTCCACCCAGCCTCGGGCTGGAGGCGGTCTCGGGGTCCCCTGAGCCCCCGCGCTCCGGCCCCGAACTCTCCCCATCCCACACAGCCCATGTGGACAGGGGCCCGGGTCGTGCAAGGGGAGGGGCTGCAGGCTGGGGCAGAGAGCCGGGGGGGAGCGTCCTGAGAGCGGGGAACCGGGAGGTGAGCGGGGGCAACGCCCCTCGGGCCCTCCGGGCGCGCTAGACCAGAGCGATGTCCCAGTATCCAGGAGCTGTGTCAATCTCCCCGAAAGGCCGAGTTCCCGAAGGGCAGGAACCCCGGTGCTCGCTGCAGAGTGACAAGTAGTAGCAGCTTAATAAATGATAAAACGAGTGGGCATCGGGATGAGGTGAGAACAATGAGAGGGAAGCACCGTGGAAATTGAAAGTGTGTATGTGAGGGGTCTCCCCGAAACTTCCCTTCCAGGAAAATGGGCACAGGGGCCAAGATCTCAGTGGGGGTGGGGGTAGGGGTAGGGGCTGGGGACTTCTTTCCCTGTAAAGGTGGAGGTTATAGAGATGCTGCCCTCTCCAGCCCCTGGGGCAGGATGGAGCCTGGAGCGGGTCCTGGTCAGCCAGACCTGGGGCTGGGTGTGGTCAGAGCCCCAGAGCTTGAGGCCAGGTGATGTCCAGGCTCCACTGTCAGCTGCTCTGGGTTCCTGTGTTCATCTGTGAAAGGAAGAGATTAGAGGGTATTAGTCTCCTTTCAGCTCTAAGGTTCCATGAATCTGTGCTTCTAATCTGTTTTGGATTTAAATTTCTTTTATTTAGATGTTTCTTTATTAAAATTTTTATCAATGGTTTACAGCACGTGGGACCTTGTGCTGGGTGTTGGGGAGAAACACTCTCTGTGTTGAGATGTTTACAGGCTTGTTGTGGAGGCTGACAAATTGTAATTACATCGTGTGTATGGTACTGGGTTGCGTGGGAGCACAGGTTAACCTGAGAAGGGCCCCTAACCAAGCCTGTCATCTCCAAAGAGGCTTCCTGGTCTGGGCTGGGCAGAGGAGAGTTGGGCAAGGGTATTCTAAGGCTGGTCACTGGCGTGCGAAGACATGCCAGGTCAGGGAGCCGCATGCTGGGACAGTGGGGTGGGTTGGGGTGCAGTCAGGAAGGTGAGCAGAGGCCAGATTCTAAACTCTCTTGCCAAGAAACTTCTAGCTGAATGTGAAAGTGCTGGGGACCCACTGAAGTATTTTAAGCAAAGCAGAAACATGTCCAAATTGTAACTTTGGGAAAATTGCTTTGAGTTCTGGGTGGTGAATGGGGTGGGAGGGGCAAGATAAGCTATAAAGGGGTGCAGTCTCCAGCTGAGAGGTGGTGAGGCCTGAACTAAGGCAGCAGCAGTGGGATATCTTGCAGGGATTAAAAAGAGTGCTGGTGACCGGGGCACTGTGAGGGTTGTGTCTGTGGTAGGAGGGTGGTGGTGGTGGTGGTGGTTTTGAGAGCCCTGATGAAGACTCCCTGTACCCCTGGAGAGGCAAGGGATGCCCAGAGTGGGTGGGGGGTTGTCTGTCCACGCACCTGCCCCCTGCGAGGGTTAAGCTGAGGAATCCGAGGTTTGGGGGGGGCCTGGAGGGAGGGCTTGGTCTCACTCTCTTTGAGGCAGGGAAAGGCACCTCTGGGCCTTGCTTTCCTAATCGACAAGGGGGAATCACTCCCTACCCTTTCCAAGCTCCTTAGAATGCAGCAAGGAGTGGAAAAGTGTTTCTGAATTAAAATGTGACACCTGTTCAAAGTGTTGTTAGCGGTTGGTTTTGTCCCTTGCCTTCAGATCAGGGAATGGGGTCCCCGGCCCTGGCAGGCTCCTGAGTCTTGGACTTGGGGTGGAGGAATACGGGTGCTGCTCTCTCCTCTCTAAAGGGAGACGGATGAGCAAAGACAGGATGGGGACGCTGTGGGTTAGGACAGGCCTGGGGGCAGGAAGGTGGGGCTGGGACAGTCCCAGCGAAGGTGTGCGTGTTGGGCAGGTGGAGGCAGCGGTCGGTCCTGGAAGGAGGTGTCTCAGGTACTGGCCTGGGGTTCAACTAGGGACCTCCAGGAGGTGGGCAGGCATGTCGGGATAAGGCAGCTGACCTGGCTGCCTGGCCGTCCATGGAGCTGCTTCCCAGGGAATGCTGGTGGAAGCAACTGAAGTCACTAACCTGGCTGTTCCTACAGGGCACCCCTGAGGTACAGTTCTTACAGCGTGGGGAGCGGGGAGGGGACCTGAAAAGAATTCATCCTGCACCTTGAACATTTTTCAGAGTCCTTTTACACTATCCGCACTCTCCCCCTGCCTGATGTAATAATTCTGTACACAGGAGCAAGTGTGATTATTTCCATTTGCAGATGGGGAAACTGAGGCCCAGAGAGGAAAGTGGCTGGCCCGGGGTCACATGGCTAACCAGAAACAAACCTGAGCCCAAGGTGTCAGGCCTCCCCATCCTGGGTTCTTTCCACTAAGGTGTTCCAGTTCTGTGGGTGATGGCCTGCCCCTCCCCTGCCCCACCGCTGTCCTCTCCTGGGACTGAGGACTGCAGTGTGTGGGAGGCTGAGGTGTGAAGACGCTGGAGTAGGAGAGGGGGAAGGGACAGGGCTTGGAGGACGGGTAACAATGGGGGGACACTTGATCCAGCGCTGAGTGAGATCCAGGGAGTCAGGAGGAGGTGTTCTTGGAGAGCAGGGTGGGTGAAGGGAGAGGAAGATGAAGTGGAGGCCCTGAGTGGCTGGGGAGCCGTTGTGGGAGTTGTAGAGGGTTAGGGTTAAGCTGGGCGTGCCTTAAGCTGGGGTGCGGGGTGGAGGCCAGCCTCTAAATTATGGACGCGGCTCTCACCTGGTCTGCATAGGACCTCTGGGCTTGCTTGTCTGTCCCTTGGCACGGGGCTGTATCAGGTGGGAAGCAGGTGTCCTGGCTTTGAGATAACATTTTAAAGCCACTTGTTGGCAATTGGTTTGTGTGTCCTCCTTGGTCATAAACTCTGGATGAGAGGAGGGTGTGAGGTCTGGTGGGTCCAGGGACAGGGGACTGATGCCTGGAGAGGGAGCTGATTATCCAGAGGCCCGCCAGAGCACCACCCAGGGGACAGGCCTCCTGCTGGACTGGCCTTTGTAGGACTGGCCTTGGAGGAGGGCCTGGTGGCTGTGGAACTGGTCCTGGGAGACAGAGGCCGCACTGGCTCCCTCCCCACAACAAAGTTGGGGTGTGAGGCCATCGGGGCTCACCTGAGATGAGCCTTTGAGCCACAGGCCAGCACATGGCTTCTAGTCCAGCCCCTGCCTGGCGCTCAGGCCCCCAGCCTCCTTTTCCTGCTTTCCCCACTGCCCACCCAGCCCCTCCACCGCGACTGGGTTAGGCACCCTCACCAGCCCAGAGGAGCCCCCCTCCCCGCCAAGCCTCCGCCGGGGCTGTGGGGGTCCAATGCTGTACCTGAGGCTGCTCTGTAGAGCGCACGGCTCTGCAGGCTGTCCTGACAATAAGGCTGGTCTATGCCCTCTCCTCCTTCGAGGCCGGCTCAGGTTGGTGAGCAGTGTTTGGGGCCCCTGTGTGGGCGCTGGGGCCTCCGGAGACTCTGAAGCAGCTTGAAGGAGGGATGGTTTAGGAAGAGTGACGGCAGTGGGGGCGTTTGGAGAGGGCTTGGAATATGCGAGCGTGGGTTGTTCTCAGGCCGTTATCATGGGAGAGAAGAGACACTGCTGGTTTATAGCTTCAGAAGGTGTGGTTTCCACAGACCGCCTCACCTGGTGCTCCTAACCCGCAGAGCAGGTGTTGTCAGTCACCTTCACCGCTGGGAACCTGGGCCTAGAGGTGCGGTGACTTGCCAAGGACAGGTGGGCTGGAACTCAGGGCTCCTGGCCTGCAAGGGGCAGCCCCGGCTGAGGAGCCAGCCTCTGGGGGCTGAGGGTCACAGGGGAAAGGGAAGGGACCTCCTGTTTCCTCCTGGGCTAGACCCCCTGCAGGCATGGCCTTGGGAGGGGTCTCAGGCTGCCCTGGGCTTGCTGGGCAGAGCCTAGTTCTCTTTCTAGGGCTCTCTGTTCCACCCAGCTTCTCCCCAGCTGGCTGCAGCCTTCCCTGGCCTCATGCTGCCCCTCCCCCAGCACAGGTAACCCAACAGGTGTCTGTCCCCTGTCATACTACCTCCCATCTCTGCTCCGTCTCTGGTCAGAGCTTCCTGGCTTGCTGTGGACGTGTCACTCGTTTCTGCCCCTGAGTTCCGTTCCTGGGAGCAGTATGCCTGCTGGGATGGGCATGGATGTGTGAGGGTACTTGCTTCAGCGTAGATGCGCATTTCTGTTTCCACCGGTGTGACTTGTGCTATATGGTTCCTGTCGGCATGCTTGTGTCTCTGAGGATCTGTCGGTGTCTCTGTGGGTTTTCAGATATCTCAATTTCTCTGTACTTCCCATGTGTAGTTGTCCAGGTGTTGTCATATCTCTGTACTTTTGCATCTTTGAAGTTTGTGTACTTAGCTGTGTCAGATGTAGATATGATTGTCTCCGGATGTATTTATGTGTGCGTTTCGTGTTTATACCAGTTTCTTCTCCTGTGCCTATGACTGGATATTTTAAATGAAACATCCACTGATATTAACTGAAATCAGTTTCCCAGGTGGAGGACATCCTTGACTAGTGCTGATGTATTTGTGGTTAGTGATGAAGCGCTGAGGCCAGAGGAACCCCCTCTTCAGTCCCCCATTTGTTTCATTCATTCATTCACTCACCTTCTGCATGTGCGGGACCGGGCGGGGCAGCCCCCGCCTTCCTGGAGCTGACAGGAATGCCCCCCAATAGAACTCTGTGAACGTGGAAATCTTCGCTGACGTTACGGCAGCTCTAGCCACATGTGGCTGTCGAGCACTTTAAATGTGGCCAGTGTGATTGAGAAACTGAATTATTGAGAAACTGAATTATTAATTTTATTTATATAAATTTAAATAACCATATGTGGGTGTAGAAGCCAAACTCCTGAAAATGGTTTGGTAATTCCCGTACCTTCTCTTAAGAGGTGCCGTGGGGCAGGCTGACCCTACTTCAGTGCTGGCCCCAGCACGTACGGGCTGTGTGACCTTGAGCCTGTGGTTCCCTAGCCATACATGGTTGTGAAGGATGGAATGGCGATGCTTGTGCTTGGTACACGGTTGGCGTGCAGCAGGAGGTGGCACTCTCCCTTTCCCTGTTGGAGTCTTGGCTGACCACACCCTCTTCTTTCCATAGCCAGATCAATATCGAGGGGATCAGGGAAGCCCCCGCTTCTCTCAGTAATGAGGGTAGGAGAGGCAGAGCCTCTGCACCCGGGGAGCACTCTGAGAACTCACCTCACGGCGGGTGGAGACAGGCTGCAGCCCATGCACCCTCGCCCACCCCTTTGCAACGCTGGCCTGGACCCACTCCCTGGGCTCTGACCTGCGCAGCCTGCACGGTGAGTCAGGGCAAGGAGAGGAGAGGCGGGGCCTGCCCACAGGGAAACTGGAACCACTGAGGAAATAAGGCTGAGGGGGGTCCAGTCAGGGAAAGGGTGGGAGGCCGGGTGGGGTGGGCGATGCACTGGGGACCAGGTGGGGTTAAATTGGCTGGGGGTTGGGAAAGATGTGGGAAAGGTGGAGGAGCATGGCCCCCTGCTGGTGTGGCGGACTAGGGCAGGGGGTTGCTGCACATGGAGGGCGTGCCTGGGGAAGACGGCTCCTGTCCCTGTTTCCTGTGGGGGTGGGGTTGTGGGTACAGGCGAGCAGCCTGACGTGGCCCTGGTCGGGGCTCATGGCTGAGCAGGGCCTGGGAGCTGGGCCTTTGGCTAGAGTCGGGAGATGTCACCCCTCCAAGCCTCAGCTCCTGATGAAAGGCGTGTGGCCAGTCCCCGCCCCACTGGTGACAAAGGACATGTGAGGCGCCATCCCCTTCTCCTTCCCCACCTGGGGCCTAAGTCTGTGAAGAGAGATGTGCTTGGCTGGTACAAAAGTTCCCGGGGCCTGAGCTGGGGAGGACATAGGGAGACCCGGACATGTCCCTGCCCTGCTTCTCCCGGCCTGTGGCCTTTCTCCTCACCCCAGCTGCTGTCCGCCCCCTGCCTATCCCCAAGTTTCTGCTAAGACCAAAGCTCCTTTGTTACCTTCCCCTGTCCCCAGACCTCACCACCTGCTGCAGACCACAATCCCCGCTTTGTGTGGTCTGGCAGTTGTCATGGCAGCTGCCTGGCGGAGGCCTTCCTGTTGAGAGGGCTCGCATCCCGACTGCAGCCTGGCCCGGTGTGGGGAGGGCCGGGCCCAGGGCCAGGTGCTGGGAAGGGGGAAGCGGCCAGGCCCTGTCCCGAGACCCATCCCCTGCGTGTGCCCTGCTCCCCACGGAACTTGCTGGGCAGGGAGGGGAAAGGTCACTGGAGATCGGGGTCTGCCCCTGCGTGACAGACCGAGCGGCCTTTGGAGACTCCATGTGGGCACTGGTGGGGGTGGCGGGCCGGCCCCCGTTGCCTCCTGTTTTCTGACCGGGGCATTTTGCTGGGTGGCCTGCTTGCCAGGTTCCTGGGCATCTCTTGGGTCCGCTGAGGGATGTGTCAGGTGGGGCCGGCGGGTAGTGTGTAGGAAGGGGCCTGCAGTGTGGCGTAGCAGGGCGGAAGGCTGAACGAGAGAGAAGGTGCAGCTTGGGGCTCGCTGACCTAGAAAGACTTGGCTTCGCGGGGACTTTCCGTTTGGCTATCTCAGGGTTTTGTCTGCAGGACACCTGCTGGCCTGTTTCCAGACACATCCCATCTGAGCACAGAGGTGAGGTGGCCCCCGAGACATGGCCTACCTGCCTCCCATCCTGTGCTCTGTGCCTCCCCTTCTACCTCTGCCCTCTCGTTTCTTACTTCTTCCCCTGGGGCCCATGAGGGTCCCTTTCCTTCCCTTTCCACTCTGTGCCTCCTTGGACCACCAGCCCTGCTTTCCTTGAGCCCTGGTGAGGCCGGACAGAGGTGCCTAGAGATAGGAGGAGCTGCTCTGGTAACTCCCTGGGAATTGTTCACCAAGAATTGAAGCCCTCTGTCCCTGAGGCAATTTGTAGGTCCTAATACTTCTTGGAAGACAAGAATGGATCAAGTAGGACTGATTTGATTGGGCTCCAGGGCTCTCTGTTGTGTTGTGTCGGGGTTTTGTGAATAAGGCCAAGGCCCTCCCTCCGTCCTCACCCCCCTGCACTGTGGCCCGGCCTCTGGCGCCCCCGTGTGAGTTTCCCCGTGTCGAGGTAGCCTCCCTGCTCGCCAGTCCTCTGAGTCTTTTTAGGCAGATGTTGAATCTCCAATTGGTGAGAGGTTTCCCCAGCTGTGGGACACAGAGTAACCCGGAGGGAAGAGGGGCGCTAAGGCAGGAGCAATAGCATCCATCAGGGCCCCACAGTGGCCTTTTCCTCCCCTCTTCTTGTGGCCACCTTTTCTCTGCACCACAGGTGGGTTTTAGTGTCTATAAGAAACCACAGTAGCGGTGCGGAACAGACCCCTGCTGGGGAAACAGAATTAAAAACAAAATCTCCTGCCAACTCAGAAAAGCTCCCCACAGAAGTAGGAGAGAAAGAGAACAGTTTTTTTTTTTTTTAACTGAATAAGCATTAAACCAGAATGAGATGCACATCACCAGCCATCCGCTAAGAGATTGCAAAGACAGAAAGAAATCTCACCCTGCTATACAGCCCAACAGATACCATACCTGGTCCTCAGGTGAGAGGACTGAACGGCACCATTTGCACACAGAGTTCATCCTAAATTCACCTGGTAATTGGGGTGACCACCTGTGTTAGCAGACTGCCTTTATCCAAAGGAGAAATACACTTCTCCTATTTTTGTGACAGGAGGTATTTATGCAGCATGGGGCCAGGTGCCATGGGGGCTGGGAGACAGGGCTCCATGTCCCTTGATGGTTACATTTCAAAGAGCTGGCTCCTAGGTCCTTGAGAAGGACAGTCCTGGGGTGTAAAGCTGGCAAGAGGCTTATTTAGCTTTTAAAAAGATTTACAGACATCTCAAAGGGGCAGAGAAAAATTCACAATGACAAGTTTTCTAAGGAAAGAGATGGTGGTTATGGGGAAAGTCTCCCTTTTTGCAGCAGCGAAAATGATTTTTCTTGTTTTCAGATTTGTATTTACTCTTGTACCCCTGCCCCCACCTCTCTGGGTGGGGACCAGATTCCCAGCCTGGGTCTCTGTCCCCAGAGTGGCTGCTGGAAGGGGACCTGGGAGAGGGGAGGGGTGAGACCCTAAGGATGGTGTCTCAGGGAGGCTCTCCCACCCGCTGAGGTGGGGAGCAAGGGAAGCCTGGTTTCCTGGGAGGTGGTTGAGCCGAGGGGCCTGGAAGGAAGCGCTGACTGACACCCGGAAAAGCCCCTTGGTAGTGCAGGTAGCACAGCATGAGCTGAGCAGACACCCCAGATCCTTGCTGGGGCCCGTTGGGAGTGCGGGGGGCTAAGGGGATGTAGGCATATGAAACAAGATCCCCATTCTTAGGCAGTTCAGGTGCCAGCGTGGAGAAGATGAGCCCATGTGAGTGTAGTCAGCGGGCAGCACTTTCATGCCACACACGGATGTTAAGTGCCCTCTGTGTGGGGGCTCTATCCCAGACTCTGGGGACTCGGCAGTGAGCACGAAAAGCTCATGTCCGCGCAGTGACGGGAATAAACAGATAAGTAAATATCACGTCAGGTGGTGAAAAGTGTCGTGGAGGAACGTGAGGTGGAGTTCTCGTTGTGACTTTACAGAGTAGGCAGGGAAGGCTGCTCTGAGGAGGTGACATTTAGGCAGAGACCTGCAAGAGGCGAGGGGGCCCTGCAGAGATCTAGGGCAGAGCACTCCACGCTGAGGGAGCCAGTGCAGAGCCTGAAGCCACTGAGCAGCTGGACTCATCCCGATCATGTTCCAGGCATGGAATGAGCCAGTCAGATGTTCAAGGACTTGAGCATTAAAGAGGAAGAAGAGCCCCAACTTGGTGAGCTAGTTAACTAGTAGCTAGTTAATAACTAGTACCCTGGATGGACTGTGTGTCTTCTGGGAGGGAGAGGGATGGCTGGGAGGCTCCCTGGAAGGTGTGTGCTGGAATGGGGAAGGGGACTTTGGAAGAGGGGGACCTTCCAGGGGGTCTGCATGACCACTCAGTGGGTCTCTAAACTTCCTTGAGTTTCCTGGTTCTCACGTGTGGCATCCTTCACACCCCACCCTGCAGATGTTGAGAGTGTGGGCGTGAGGTCTGGTCTGGGAGTTAGAAGACCTGGGATCTTGCCCAGCTCTGCCATTCAGCCACCTCTGTGACTTGGGCCATGTCAGTGGCCCTCTCTGGCCTCAGTTTCCTCTTCATAAAATGGGAATTATGCCTATTTTACCTGCCTAGCAGGTATGTGTGCAATTTAAAAAAAACCCCTGCACATTTCAACTGAGGTCATGGGTAGAAAAGCTCTTGAAAAAGAGGGAATGCATTCTATGAGGTGACAGGAGGACTGAGAATCCCATTTTGTCCTTGTCCCCGAGACCAACTCTCTTTCTTTGCTCCCATCTCACCCGCAGACAGCAGGGCAGGGAGCTGCCGCGCTGATGCCAAGGGGCCTCCAGGGATGGAGAGTGGCCTGGCTGGCGCCAGCACAGGTAAGAGAGAAGAAGGAAGGTGGGAGCCAACCGCAGTTCCTCCCCCGGATCTGTCTTCCCTGTCCCCCCAAGCTGAGCATGAGTTGCTGCCCTCACTAGTAGCTTATGGGCTGTAGAATTGCAGGGCAGGACCAGGACATTGAGGGTCATGTCAAAGAATGGAACAAAGACAGACTGTGGGAGCTAAGAAAAGGACAAAGCCCAGCCATGACTTGCCAGGCAAGGGGACACACGCGTACACACACACCCTGTGTAGAAATTTGCCGCACAGGGAGAGTGAGGTGTTTGTTAAGTGCTGGAATGGGGAGTCCATGGTGGGCATGCTAATCAACGTTGAAAACCAGCTCTCTGGGTAGGAGGAGTGGTTGAAACAAGCCTGTTCTTCGTGGGTCAGGAAAGTGTCTTCAGTTTGGTCCATTGAAGCTTCCTGGGGTCACTCCGAGTTCTCGGTCTGTATCAGCTGGCACCACTTAGAGCTGGTTGAGAAGAAATATGGCAGTCGGGTTGTGGGGTCTCCCAAGCAGGTGCTGCTGCAAGCAGAAAGTTCCCCTGTACAGTCACGTGCTCTTGCGGAAGCCCCTCCCCAGGATCCCTACTTCTGGGATGGAGCAGACCCCAGCGTCTGAGGCCAGCTCTCACAGCCTCTTTTGCGAGCTTTGGGGCAAGAATGGCTCTGGCCCTGGGAGGGAGTGGGGTTCGGGAGCATCCGCAGTCCCTGGGAACCCTGCCCCGAGGCTGGCCCAGTGACTCAGGCTTCTTTACCTCCCTCTCTGCCCAGGGCAGTTGGTCCATAGACCCAGAGCCTCTAGCCTCCCAGGATAATCATTTCAATGGACCTACTACTGAGACAAAATTCAGGCAGTAGGATAAAGAAGAAATGAAGCAGCCTGCTCAAAGGGGGCCAGTGTGATACACGCACACCACGCTGTTCTGGGGCTGGCTCCTGTGGCCACACCACCTCCCAGTCTGGCTGCCTCCTTGCCTGCACGGCTGGCTGTCACTCCAGCGTTGAGAGCCCTGGGTGTGCGTGATGCTGACATTACCGTAATTGCAGGAAAATGTAGGGTAGGTAGTTCCAAATGTTTTATTTATTTATTTATTCTTTTGTGAGGGAGATCAGCCCTGAGCTAACATCCGTGCCGATCCTCCTCTTTTTGCTGAGGAAGACCGGCTCTGAGCCAACATCTATTGCCAATCCTCCTCCTTTTTTTTTTTCCCCCCAAAGCCCCAGTAGATAGTTGTACATCATAGCTGCACATCCTTCTAGTTGCTGTATGTGGGACATGGCCTCAGCATGGCCGGACAAGCAGTGCGTCGGTGCGCGCCCGGGATCCGAACCCGGGCCGCCAGTAGCGGAGCGTGCGTACTTAACCGCTAAGCCATGGGGCTGGCCCCCAAGTATTTTAGAAGGACCCTTTTTCCCAGATAAACTCGTAAGTGGAACCCTAATTCAGATGTAAGCGATGGAGTCCTCCAGAGCCCAGTCTCCCCCTACGGCAACTTCTGAGGCACCCTCTGGTCTTAGGGAAGAGGTGGAAAGACACTGGCCTGGACCCGGGAGGCACCGGGAACTGCAGGCCCCCTTGGGCTGCAGCTCCTTCTTGCCAGCTCTGGGCCCTCCACAGCACCTGCCGCCTGCTGGCAGAATGACTCATGCTGATGGACAAAGTTTTCAGATTATTGAGCACTTACCTCTTTTTAGCACCTTTTAATTTTTATTTATTTTATATGATTTTCTGAATTGTGGTAAAATATACATAACATGAAAGTTACCATTTTAACGAGTACAGTTCAGTGGCATTAATTACATTCACAATGTTAGATAACCATCACCACTATTTCCAGAACTTTTGCATCACGCCAGAAGCTCTGTACCCATTAAGCAATAGCTCCCCATTTAGCACCTTTTTATTTTATCTGAACCATTCAGAATTTTTAAAAAATGATCCTTTTGTGCTGACTGAGGAGCGTTCCCTTTGTTTCAGGACTCCCTCCAGAGGCCTGTCCTCCTGAGGGAAGGTGCCCTGTGACCACTAAAGTCCCAGCACATGCCCTTCACAGCGTCCACACCACATCCCTGAGCTTCAGGGCCTCCTCACACAGCCGTGTCCCTTGTACCTGCCCGGTGCCCTATAGCAGTGGACGTGAGTGTTCTCTGGGCCTTCAGGCCGGAGCCATCTTTCCCGCTGGGGAGGGCGAGGCTTCACAGCCATCAGCCACCGTGATGGATGTCAAGGCCAGGTTTAATCAGGGCAAGGCAGTGACTTCTGTGGGGCTCTGGGGCACTAATGGGTTCCCTGTCACTCGGGGACAGTGGTGCCCCTCTTGCTTGAGTATATTTTGGACACCTAGCCCCATTAAACACTTCCACTGGCCAACATTGCAGTGCGTCTAAGGAAACATTCTTATAATCCGTTAAACTCATTTCACTTGTATATTCAATTCCTGCCAGTATAAGTTTTAAATCGCCACTTTCATTTTCAAACTATTACTCCTGCTAACATGATTTCTCACAACCAAGCACCTGGGGAGGCCTCACAACATCATTTTGCCAGGAGGAAAACTGCCCCCTTGTGGGTACTTTCCATAACACCCCCACCCAAACCCTTATCCCCCATGGTCACAATCAGTTTCTGTGCCCTCATGATGGCCAGCAAGGCTGTGGAGTGGAGCAGAGCTCTTTGGCCCTAGAACTAAAGGCTGCCAGATTAGAGGGGAGGTTTTTTCTTTATTTCTTAAAATATTTTAAAGATTTTTAAATGATAATATTTGAACATTCTCATAAAAATTCAAACAATACAGATTAAAGTGAAGGTCCCCTTTGACCTCTCCATCCAGTCCTTCTGTTGTCCATATCATCTACAGGGTGACTCCCATCTTCAGTTTGGTGTGAGTTGTCCTGGGTCATGCATATATACGTACATAGAGAGGAATATATAGTTTTATTTTTCATAAATGGCACCAAATGATTGGTATTGGTTTTTGATTTTTTATTTTCTCAAAATGTTTTGGAAGTCTTTTCACATCAGTATACATAGGTATTTTTCATTCTTTTAAGTTGCTGCATAGTATTCCATATTATGAAGGAAGTGATAATTTTGTTAAACTATTATTGATGGGTAATTAGATTTTCTTCCATTTTTTGCTAATTACCAATATTCAGTGAATGTTCCTGGACATTCCTCTTTGCACTTATATGTAAATATTTCTTCGGATAAACACCTAGAGTGAAATGCTGTGTGGAAGGTTATACACATTTATAATTTTAGTAATCACTTTCAAATTGTCCTCCAAAAAGTTTATGAACTGAACTGAACTAGTTTATGCCCCCAGCACACCTTCCCCCTGCCCTCTGTAGTTTCCACGTGTGTTGTGAAGTAGGGATGTTATCAATCTTTTCAATATTTGCCGGTGTGATGGGTGAAAAGACACTTCACTGTTGTTTTGCATTTTGCTGATTACTAGTGAGGTTAACCCTCTTTTCGTCCTATCTACTGGAGTCCTTTATATATGCTGGATATTAATCCTTGATCTGTTATGTATCTGCACACATTTTCTCCTAGACCTGTGCTGTCCAGTATGTGGCCACTAGCCATATATGGTTATTTAAATTTAAATTTAGACTTAAATTAAGTTAAATTCAGTTCCTCAGTTGTACTAGCCAAATTTCAAGTGCTCAGTCACCACATGGGGCTAGAGGCTACTGTATTGGACAGCTCGGACGTAAAACATTTTCACTGTTACAGAAAGCTCTATTGGAAAATGCTGCCCCAAACTATCATTCCTATTTTACTTATGTTTGTGGTAGCTTTTGTTTTTATGTTTTGTATCCTGTTTGAGAAAGTTTTTAATTACCTCTAGATACTGAAAAAATTCTCCTAGTTCTTCTAATACTTGTACTTTCTTCTTTTAAACCAGCACTTAAATCCATTTGGCACTGATTTTTATAAACAGTATGAACTAGGAATCTAACTTAATATTTTTCCCAAAAAGATGGTTAATTGGTCCTAAATCAGTGAATAGGCCAGCCTTGCACCATTGACTTGGAATGCCACCTTGCATTGTATATCAAACGATTCTGTTCCATTGATCTGTCTATGGTATGTATTCTACACCATTTTAATTATTGTATTTAGCTTTTTTTCCTTTGGTGGAAGGGAATCTGATCCACAGCCTCACCTCACCAGGCTCACCGTGGAGCAGCCAAATCAATAGCAACTGCATTAGCCAAAACTTTTTTTTAATGGACTTTATTTTTTAGAGCAGTTTTAGGTTTACAGAAGATTGTGCAGAAAGTACAGAGCGTTCCCTAGAGCCCTGCCCTCCAGTGTCTCCTATGATTAACATTTGCATTAGTGTGGTACATTTGTTACAATTGATGGGCCTTTATTAATACATTATTATTAAATAAAGTCTGTAGTTACATTAGGGTTCACTCTCTGAGTTGTACATTCTGTGGGTTTTACAAGTGCATAATGTCCTGTATCCACCACTACAGTATCATACAGAATAGTTTTTCTGCCCTAAAAATCCTGTGTTCCACCTACTCATCCCTTCCCCCTGCAAGCCCCGCCCCCCAGCCCCTGGCAACCACTGATCTTTTGACTGTCTCCATAGTTCTACCTTTTCCAGAATGTCATATCTTTGGAATCATATAATATGTAGCCTTTTCAGACTGGCTTCTTTCACTTAGTGATATGCATTTACATTTCCTCCATGTCTTTTCACGGCTTGATAGCTCATTTATTTTAATTGCTGAATAATACTCCATTGTCTGGTGTACCACTGTCTATCCATTCCCTACTGAAGGACATCTCTTAGTTGCTTCCAAGTTTTGATGGTTATGAATAAAACTGCTAAAAACATCTGTAGGCGGGTTTTTGTGTGGACATAAATTTTCAACTCCTTTGGGTAAATACTTAGGAGAGTGATTGCTGGATTGTATGGTAAGAGTATGTTTAGTTCTGTAAGAAACTAACAAGCTTCCAGAGTGGCTGTACCATTTTGCATTCCCACCAGCAATGCATGAGAGTTCCTGTTTCCTCGCCAGCAGTTGGTGTTGTCAATGTTTTGGATTTTAGCCATTCTAATAGGTGTGTGGTGGTAGTATTTTAGCTTTTAATGTTGTATAAGGCAAATTCTTCTTTGCTCAGTTTTAGAATTTTCTGGGTGATTTATGCACATTGTAAATATTAGAAGTTACTTAATTGGGATTACACTGAATTTAAACATTCGTTTTGCAGTAAAGAGCTTCTTGCCTTCTCATCTAGGAATATGATGTATCTGTCCTTTTACTTACATTTTCTTTATCTCTTCAATTAAGTTTAATATTTTTCTTTATAAAAGTTTTGCATGTATATTAGGTATATTCTCAGTAATTATAGTTTTAATTGCCATTTTTTAAAGTTTATGAATTTTGGGGGCCCAGCCCAGTGGCGTAGTGGTTAAGTGCATGCGCTCCGCTTTGGCAGCCCGGAGTTGACAGGTTTGGATCCTGGGTGCCGACCTACGCACCACTTCTCAGGCCATGCTGTGGCAGGTGTCCCACATATAAAGTGGAGGAGGACTGGCAACAGATGTTAGCTCAGGGCTAATCTTCCTCACACACACACAAAAAGTTATGAATTTTTGTTTTTGTATCTGGCAATCTTGCTGAAACTTTTATTTCTAATACTTTGTCAGTGGATTCTCTTGTACATTCTAGGTTAATAGTCATCAGCAAATGCCAGTTTTCTCTTCCTTTCCAATATTTACATATATTTTTCTTTTTTCTTTTTTTTTTTTTTGCTGAGGAAGAGTCACCCTGAGCTAACACCTATTGCCAATCATCCTCTATTTTGTATGTGAGCCACTGCCACAGCATGGCCACTGACAGACAAGTGGTGTAGGTCTGCGCCCAGGAACCAAACCCGGGCCGCTGATGCAGAGTACGCTGAACCGAACCACTAGACCCCAGGGGCTGGCCCTATTTTTCTGTTTTCCCCTCTGCTTTGGCTAGTGCCTCAAGGACAGTGTTGAGGAGTGGCAGTGGCAGTGAGCATCCTCGTCTTGTCCTAACCTGAATGGGCTTCTGATCTTTTGGCTTTGGTTTTAACATTTGCTGCAGTTTCTAGTGTAGCTCCTTTGTCAACCCAGGAAAGTGTTTTATATTATATTATATTCCTAGTTTGCCAAGAGCTTCCTTCCTTCATTTTTTATTTCCTCTTCCCTCCTTCGCTTTTTCCTTCGTTCCCTCTAGAAATGGTGTTGAATTTTATATGACTTTTTTGCATCTATTGAGATGGTATAAGGTTTTTCACTTAAAAAGAATTAATGTTGTGAATTATATTGAGCCATCTTGTCTTTCCTGGGGAAGATCCCAGCAAGGTCATGACCTGTTGTTCTTTTACTACTGCTGAACCTGCTGTGCTAATGTTTTTGCTTGCTTGCTTGTTTGTCTCTTGTGTCTACTTTGAAAGAACAATAAACCTACAATTTCCTGCCCACCCCACCCTTGTCTTGTTTTGCTACTGGATCATGCTAGTAGGCTCCCTCCCTCCTCTTCTCCCAGCCACTGTCCTGGTTTATGTAAGCTGGGAGTGATTCTTCCCTTGACGTTTTAGTAGAACTAGTTTATACAGTTAACTGGCCTGTTACCCATTTTCGAGGTGGAACTTTGGCTTTCTTTTCAGTCTCTTCTAATAGTTTATATAGACACGTTTTCTACCTACTCTTGAGTCAGTTTTGTTAATTTATATTTTCTCACAAAATCATCCATTTTATATAGATTTTTCAAATTGATATAACATCTACACATAGTATTTTAGGATTTTCAGGATTCTTTTTATATTTATCTGTCCCTTTTATCATATAATCTCTGCTTTTATCTTTATTAATTCCTTCCTCCTACTTCCTTTGGGTTTATTTTGTTGTCTTTTTAATATTGGAACCTGCTGTTTAGACTTTCTTCTTTGTTGACAACTGTTTCATTTCACCCACTTTTTATTGAAGTATAACACACAGAAAGTGCATCGGTTGCAAGCTCTATAAATTCCTATACAGTAAAGACGCCCTCGTGACCAGCATCCAGATCCAGAAAGAACATTGCCAGAAGCCCGAAAGTCCCCTCAGGCCCCCTTCCAATCACCGTTCCCTCTCTAAGGGGCCATTATCCTGACTTCTAATTCACCAATTAGTTTTGCCAGCTTTTGAACCTCATACAAATGGAATCATGCAGTCTGCATTAGGTGTTTGTAGTAGACCTTTTCCATCACAGCTCCTCATGTCCACGAGCTGGGGAAACACAGCGCCGGCAGACCTGAGCACAGTGTTCAGCCTGAGCACGGTGTACCAGAGGGTTAGCCGCAGTGTGTGGGGCACTCTGGAGAGTAAAGTGGACTAGGTTTAGTACAAGGACAAGGCTGCACCTATTCTGGGTGCTGAGACTTCTCTGGCCTACTTTCTTGTTCTTGGTTTTGTGGAAAAAAGGTGAGATTGCCAAACAGCCAAGGTCAAAGAAGATGAGGTGCCCATGCACTATGGCAGCTGCCCTGGAGAGGGCCTGGTGGTGATGTGGGGCTTGGACACCCAGCCACGGAGAGACTGGGCATGCACTTGCTTAGCAAGCACCTAGCACAAGGAGCCTCTTAGAAAAAGAAGGAGCTCTTTTGAAACTTGGCCATTTTCTGCTTGCTCCCTGGGTGGGAAGACTTCTCTGACTGGTCTGTGTAACCTCTGCCTCTCCTGGGCCTCGGGCAGAGAAGGCGGGCAGCGGTGTGTGACTGGCACAGCAGCATTCACTCCTCTTTCCTTTCCTGGACTTTTTCTTTGCTATCTCCACACCCCAACCTGCCCTTACCTATGGTCCTTTCTATCTTCCCCTCCTCTCCACTTTCTCCTTTTCCTCTTCTCCCTTTTAAAATCTTCCTCCTGCTTTCTTTTCTCCCGCTTTACCTTCCGCTATGCTCTGCCCCGCCAGCACTTCTTTCCTCTCTCGGGCTCTCTCTCCACCCCACGACAGCGAATGACTCTCCCGTCCTCTTCCCGTTTGCCTCCCGCAGGAGATGGGCTGCTGATGAAGATCAAGCAAGAGAAGCCGGAGTGGCTGCTGCAGACGTCAGTGCCGCAGGGCGCCCTTTCCGAGAAGGATAAGGAAAACATTTTCCAGCAGCATCGGGGCCTCCCGCCATGCCAGACCATGGGGAAGCCTCGAGCCTTAGGGAGACAGGAGGAGACCGGGGGTCCAAGGTGGGCGCCTCCCACTGAGCAGGACCGAGGGCTGGCCGGTAGGGCTCCAGGGGCAGCCCCTGGCCCCCTGAACCCCGCTCCTTCTGCTGGCGAGGGTCACTTTGTGTGCCTGGACTGCGGGAAGAGGTTCAGCTGGTGGTCGTCCCTGAAGATCCACCAGCGCACCCACACCGGGGAGAAGCCGTACCTCTGCGGCAAGTGCGGCAAGAGCTTCAGCCAGAAGCCCAACCTGGCGCGCCACCAGCGGCACCACACTGGCGAGAGGCCCTTCTGCTGCCCCGAGTGCGCCAGGCGCTTCAGCCAGAAGCAGCACCTGCTAAAGCACCAGAAGACCCACTCTCGGCCAGCCACCCTCTCGTGCCCTGAGTGCGAGCGCTGCTTCCGCCACCAGGTGGGCCTCCGCATCCACCTGCGCGCGCACGCCCGGGACCGCCAGGGCGCCCGCGCCAGCCTCCACGAGCTGCTCCGGGACGCC